TTTTTTTTTTTTTTTTTGCTAGGATCCCATTGTACTTAACTGAATTTTATAACGCTGATCGATATCTTGGTAAAATATTCATTTTTAAACTAGCGGGCAGTGAAATCTTTGCTTTGTGTGCTAAAGTCAACAGTCGCTCGGTTTGAGCTCAAATAAATGCGGAGATGCCTCGGCTCAGAGCAGTCGGCCACCTCCCTTCGAGCGCTGGACGCTCCGCCGCCCGCCAGCCCGCCGCACCACAGGTAGGGAGCGCGCCCACTCGGGGGCCGCGCCCGGGTCCCCTGGGCAGCGTCCGCCCCCCATTCCCCTCCGCGCGCCTCCCCTCCCCCAGCCAGCCCCTTTCCTTTCCAAGGGCCCCGACGCTAGGGGTTGGGGGTGGGGAGGTAGAGAATGAGAAGCTAAGTCGGTGAAGACCCTGGAGTTTGGAAGGTGGCCTATTCGTGCGGGGATTTCTGAGAATACACGGTGTGGGTGGACGACGGGGCAAAGAGCTGCAAACAGACTCAATCTGGGCTCTGAGCACATAGAGTTGGGTTGGGGCCCCGAAGCTACCGGAAGCCACTACAGGCTCCTGCAGCCCATCCGGGGTGAGGGCTCGATCCGACGGACGCGCGTTTCCCAAGGACAGTGAGGGGGTAGGGGATGGGGGAACGCCCTTGGCCCCAGAGTCAGGGGTGGAGGCAGCGGAAAACGGCATGCTGGTATCCCGTGGCTGCATCGGCAGAGGCCCGAGAGTGGCGAAGCCCTCCCCGCCTTCCCCGGCGCGCAGGGGTTCTAGTCTGGTCTAGGCGTTTCCCTAGAAACCCACAGACCGGGCAGCATTGGGGTCAACGCCTCGAGGCAGCAGGATTGGGACAGGGCCTTCCCCGAGAAAGGAGTATATTTTCGTTCTCGCTGCAAGAAGCGGCGGGTGCCCTTTACGCACAGAAGCGCACGGCTGCAGACAGTTTCGGGAGCCTCGGGGGTTACAAGCGGGGCCCAGCGGGGGAAGGGTGGAGAGAGAAACGCGCCGCCGGGCAATTAATCCTCATTCTCCCAGAGGCTGGCCCCGGGTAGGGGCGCGCTGCGGTGCGGGAGGAGAGGAGTTTGGAGGACCACACAGAACCAATTGCATCTTTCTCCCGCCTGTGGGAAGGCACCAGCTTGGAAAACTAGAAGTTCCAAAGCTGCCAGTTGTAACTGCAGGATCGTCGGGTATCGAGGCCAGGGCATGGGGTACTGAGAAGGCGTGTTTCTTCTGGGATCTTCCAGGTGTCCCCTGAAATTAGCATTCCCCTGGAGGTGTTTACTTTAAAGGGCTAGACATCCCGCCTTGTTTGAAGCCCGCGCAGACTTCTAGGTATTTCACCAGGCGGGGAGACAAGCGCTCTTTCCGTCCTCCCCGCAGTCACCAGATCCCGGGACCCAAGGGGCAGAAATCGGAATCGATCCCTGTAACTGGCAGGGTCAGTTATGTGGGCACCTCTGTGTGGGGACCATGCCCCCCTCCCCGCCTTCCCTGGCGT